GAAGGTCCCCGCGGCCTTTGGACGCCACGCGGAACAGGCGCGGCACCAGCTCCGCCAGCTCCAGTCCCAGGTCCTGCGCGATGCGGCCCACGAAGGTGCCGTGCTTGGCCTCCTCGGGGACGGAGTAGTGGAGCTGCCCGCTGCCCGCCTCCCAAGCTGCGATGATCATATAAAACAACAATAGAAGCCTGGCTCCTGGGTCGCCTACATCCAGACACACCATTTCAATTCTTTCTGCTTTCTGCCAATAATCCGGACTTGTCTAAAAATTCAGAAAAATCTTCTTACCCCGTTCATTCTGATGTACTCCCCATTGTTCAACATCCGGAAAGTGAAAGGGAGTGGATCGTCTTTCCAATGCGTAAAAAAAATATGACTTTTTCTTCAATATGAGAAGTTTCTTGGCCAAGGGCGACATCATCTGGCCCAAATAGTAAGTTCAAATTACAACATTGACTCCATACCATTAAAATGCAGTGTTTTATTCCAACCTCTGAGTTTTCCCCCTTTATTGTAAAGGATAGGACAATATTTCTCAGGTTTGCTGAAGATATTGGTAAGGGGCTGCTTTTGAAATTTTAATGAGACCACAATTGTGATCTTGTGTTTGGAGAAATTTTTTATATTTGTGAATTTAAAATAAGGTAGAAACCAAGATGACAATAAAGTAAATTATTTAATAATCCTAATTTTGAGGTCCTTTGTATTAGAGTTCATAAAACTGCCAGTATTTCCTAGATTAACATTCAGGGAAATTTTCTTGTGTACAGTGACTCTAGATCAAAACAAGTTAGTAATGAAAGAGAAATTTAGAAATGTTATTTTTCAGGGAGGGAAGGAATCTATGTAACTAATTCAGATACATTTCCTAAACAAACAAACCAATTAAAGATGTTGGAATCTTTGAAGGAGTAAGAATTTTAATAAGTAAAAATTTGTGAGAAACAAATACTTAAAAATGTAAAAATATATGTGTGTATGTATAATTCTGTTCCAGGAGCCAGTAAAATTCCTATATCGATATCTGCTTACACTTTTCACCCTTTTTTAAACCTTATGTTTTATTAGTATCAGCCAGTTTTTACAATTGCAATACAACTTCGATTTCTTTGGTTGTAATGTTACTTCATTCAATACATTTGGTGTGTATCTGTGATACTTAGTATGTCTTTAATCAAGGCTGTGATGTTTTATCTTTTTTAGTTCTACTTAGAGATATTTTCTTATGAGTTCTACTCGCATATTCCCAATTTATAGTAAAATAATTTCTTCACAATTCTATATTTCCCATGTTGTATCTGCTGAAATGAAATTTGCAATGATTTCAGTTTTTTATTGAGTCTTCTTGTCCATTCTTATTTCATTCACCATTCGCTTAACCCTTACAGTCATATAACTGCAAAAACACCCACTTTGTTCACTGCCATCAACTCAGTACACACTTTACATTTTTAAAAATAGCTTTCCAATGGCTTTTGAAGAGAGTAAAAAGTTCTTAGTCTAATATCAAGCTTAGCCAAGAGAATTTCTCATTGTTTCCCTACGTTATCTCATATTTTTCCCCGCTTTAACCAAAGTGGACTATTCCTTGTTTCTAGGCATATTTGGGATTTTGCATATACTCATACTTACTTAAGTTGCTATTTCACCATGAATACCTATTGTTCTCAATATTACTCCACTTAAAAACCTCTAGAAATATGCTTGTTGAAGGGATCTCTCAACAAGGGAATATAGGGAAATATTTCCCTGCAAGTCCAATAACGTTATGGTTTACCTTTCTTGTACCTTTTATACTATTCTGCCTTTTTTTTGAGTCATTTTTATGCATGACACATATTTCTTAAACGTCTTGAAGTTAGGGATTTGCTAATGTGATGATTCCTGACACATCCCCAAACCCTTGGAAGTCCACCTAAAACCGATTTTAAAACTTTACTTGAGTGTTGGCAATGATTCTTCCCTACTTCCAATTTTAAAATTAGAGACGGGTATCACTACCTGCAGCAGTGGCACTCCGTACAGATTAGCACACAACTGTAATACTTCGTTGATTTTTAAATCAACAACACTCTTTATTGTGTGCATGCATTTTTAGGGGGAAACAGAAAACACTGTTAATGACTTCCTACATTTCAGGAATGGAAAATGCATACACATAAAGCCACACCCCAAGCCTCCTCCCTTGGGAGACCTTGGGTGACTTTCAGGCCTTGGAGTATTCCAGTTTAAAGTTGTCTGATTTTTCTGGAAAAGGATGGCCAACATGAAAAGTTTAAAACACCTTTAGAAAAACCTTGAGGATATGGTAGCATACATGGTTTTGTTTCTTGAGACCAAAAAGCTATCCCATTGCTAAAATCATCATTTGAACTTCAGCTTGGAAAAAATGAGTTTTGATTAGTTTTTAAATCTAACACATGGCATTCAAAATCTTTGAGATATATAGGATCCATTCTGTAATCATTGTCACCCTGTGAATAACAAAACTTTACATAAAATAAAACAATCTAATGATACCTTTCTGAGATCTTAGATTTCCTTTTTCCCCTTCAGGGTAAAACAGCTAAATCTTATTAGACTTTTACTATTTGCCAATCCTAGTTATAAGCACCTTGGACGTAAATATGAAAGTAACTACCAATGGTAGGTCCTGCTGTTTATCATCCCAAATTTACAGGTGAGATACTGAGAAATGACACATTAAACAATCTATCTAGTTTAAAATTCTATTTAAATACATAAAATATTACGGGTCAAATTTAATCAAGGGAGGATGACTTCAGAACTCACAACATGTAACTACTTCTATGCTGTCTTTGTGAATAGGAAAAATCAGGAAAACAGTGAATATTTAAGATCATTACCCAGAACAGTGAAAAACACTAATACACAAGAAATAGGTTCAGACTAACTTGATGAAAATAATCCTAATGAAATCCAAAGATCATATAAGACAAGACTTCCTTAGCTGACCCATGGCCCTACAGGGGGGACAACACTGGAGACTCAGTGTCTGGATTAGCCAGGTCTGACCCAGGGACACCTAGGCAAAACACTAAAGGCTGCGGCAGAGCAAGGGGAGAGGGGAGCAGAGCAGTGAGCTCCCTAGGGAGTGCAGAGGATAGATTTTGGGGCCACAGCATGACACCCCATCATACTTGACTGTAGGACACGCCTAGATGTCAAAAATCAGACCTTGATCTATTTATAGGTTTTTCTTTTTAAATTTTTTTCTTTTAATTTTTAATTAACTTATTCTTTTCTGTGTCATTGGTTTTCTTTTTTGTTGTCATTGCTGTGTTCTATTTTGTTGCTTTGTCTTGCTGTGCCTTGTTTTTGGGTGCACATTATTATCTCTGCAGATCTATCTAGATAAGATAGGCTGGATGAAGAGTCTGGAGGAGAAAACAATAGGGCTAATGGTTCTGGGGTGACATGGGAGAGGGAGAGGCAGGGAAAGGAAGTGGTGTTGACTAATCCAAGGACAAGGGAGTAACAAGTGATCCAAAGTTAGTGGCAAAGATGGTGTGAGAGGCCTGGTAGGGGTTCAGCAAGGGCAATACAACCGAGAGAAATTACTGAAACCCCAAATGAAGGCTGAGCATGATAGTGGAACAAGAGGAAAGTAAAAGGAAATAGAGGAAAGAACTAGGAGGCCAAGGGTATATATGGAGGTCTAAATAAAGGCATGTACATATGCAAATATATTTATATAGGATGGTGGGGAAATAGATCTATGTATACATATTTACAGGTTCAGTATTAAGGCAGCAGATGGACATTGGACCTCCACTCAAGTACTTACTCAATGCAAGAACACTTTGTTCTAATAAATTGGCATTCCATAATGCATACTTTCCCCAAAAGATCACTGAAGACATATATGTGTATAAGCAAATGTGGTGAGGAAAGGTGATGGTGCCCAGCTATCAAAAGATACAGTGTCTGGGGTCTTAAAGGCTTGCAGATAAACAAGCAGCCATCTAGCTCAGAAGCAACAAAGCCCACATGGAAGAAGTACACCAGCCTGTGTGACCACGAGGTGCCAAAGGGTTCAAGTATCAGGCATCAAAGAAAGAAAAATTATATCATTGTAAATGAGGGTGAGTGCAGAGTGGAGACCCAAAGCCCATCTGTAGGCAACTGGACATCCCCTTACAGAGGGGTCATGGGGAGACGACAAGCCAGTCAGGGTGCAGGGTAGCAACGATGAAACATACAACTTTCCTCTAGTTCTCAAATGCTTCCTTCCCCCACTATCATGATCTCAATTCTACCTTTCAAATCTGGCTAGACCAGAGGATGTACACTGGTACAGATAGCAACTGGAAACACAGGGAATCCAGGATGTGTGATCCCTTCAGGACCAGTGGTGAGAGTGGTGATACCAGGAGGATGGGGTACAAATGGGAAACGGGTACAAGGATCTACATGTAACCCCTTCCCTGAGGAATGGACAACAGAAAACTGGGTGAAGGGAGATGTCGGATAGTGTAAGATATGACAAAATAATAATAATTTATAAATTATCAAGGGTCCATGAGGGAGTAGGGAGCGGGGAGGAAGGGAGAAAAATGAGGAGCTGATATCAAGGGCTCAAATAGAAAGCAAATGTTTTGACAATGGTGATGGCAACAACTGTATAAATGTGCTTGACACAATGGATGTTTGTATGGATTGTGATAAGAATTCTACGATCCCCCAATAAAATAATTTTTTTAAAGAAATCCAAAGATATGAGTTAGGATCTCAGAGTAAAACAGACTGTAAGTGAATTTACTTTTTCCAAGTCTAGATTCTCTTGAATTACTATTTCTCTAGTATTTGGATCTATCAAACTGGGCAGCATCAATGGGTAAAATAAGGCATAAACTCTTCCCACTCACTTCATTCTTTATGACAATTATTCTTCTCTCCTTTATCCCTAAATGCATTTACAAAGCAACAATAAGTGAACACTGGTGTCTCTCACTGAGTGTTGGTGGTGTGCCCGGTTAGGACTGGGCTACTAACTACAGGGTGAGCAGTTTGAAACCACCACTCAGTTGGAGGGAACACATGAGGCTTTCTACTACCACATAGATCTACAGATTCAGAAACCCATAGGGGCACTTTTACTCTATTTTCTAGGGTCCATATGCCATAGAATCCTCTTGATGGCAGTAAGTTTAATTGCTCTCCGGGTTTTATTCAGGGGTAGGTTTAGGTGGGGTCCTTTAAGACCAGGAGAACAAAAAAAATTTTTTTCAGAACAAAATGAGATAGGCCGAATTTTTATACAACACTGATACATTGAAACGTGTAAGCTAAAAAAATTGATTCACAGATGAAACTCGGAAAGAGGAAATTATAATGAAGTGTTGAAATGTCAACATATTAAAAGATGATTATATACAAAATAATTCTCCTAATTTTAAGATGCAAAGAAATTAGTTTAAATTATCACAAACAAAAATATTTCTAGCTCTGACAGGCAAACATATAACATAAATATACGTTATTCAAGGAAAGTATGAGATTGAAGACAAAAGCAATTCTGTGTATAATGTGCATTATAGACTGAATTAAATTACGTTATATATAACATTGCGATGAGATTTAATAATGACTAAACTAAACCTGAAAGATATAAAAACTTCAAAATTATTCCAAAATTTTTTAAATAAGAAAAAATAGACGTTAAAAAAAGGGAATGTGAAAACCGATACTGGACATTGTTAATTATGAAAATTTAGACTTACTTTGACGGAATGATTCTCCTTTAAATCCTGATGTTCACCCACATCTGCTGCTACTGGGCAGGGCGGGAGGCT